ATCGAAACAAAAAAGATGATTAAAATTGTAACGAGACCTTTACAAATTCAACAGATTTCCAACACGTTTCCAAATTCTATTATTTTTGGTTTCCAATGAAAACTTGATCATACATTATAAAGTGTTGTAATAAAAATTGACAATAAAAAATATAATGTATTCAGAAAACGAACATCCTCTACATACATTTTCTGGCTAAATATAATAAAATTTCTGCTAGGGTTTTACTTTTAAAATAAATATTCATGTCTATTAAATTAAAAATATGACATACATAAAATCTAGCAGATTTTTTTATTTGAGTTGTTTTTAATGGTAATTTTTTCATTAATTTTTCCGTTTGTTAGATTTTTCCGTTTTCTATTTTTGATGAAACTGGCATTCAGAAACAGTTATCTTGTTATTTCAGGGCGAAAACGTTTTAGAGGATTGTCTGTTATGGTTTAGTTAACCTCATATGATTTGTTTGTAATAATACCTTCATTTATTAATTACAGTTTCATCTTTATTTCTGAGTAATGAGCAAACAATTTTATTTCAGACTTTAATGGTTTTTAGTTTTTCTAAATTGATTAACGTACCTAAGAAAATATTTAAACGTGTGATTGCACAAAAACAGGTAATTTATCTGATTTTATGTTCACTATTATTTATTATTTATTTATTTAATAGGTAATTATTACATACAAATTAGCTTACTTGATCCTATGTGGCTAGGCGGAAGGCCTTTAAGCCATTACAATACCTACATCCGTTCGCATTCTAATCTTTCGAATTCTGGTATTCACCCCAAATGGTCACTATTATTTTACATTATTTGACTATTGAGACATATATATGACTTTGTTTTGAATTTTTTTAAGTATCCAACCTTTTTGTGAGGGATTTGAATACAATCGATACAGAGTTATTAGATACTGTTGTTATTACAAATCACTACTGTTTAAGAATTATTTAGAAAAGTTTTTTATGCGAGGGGTCTGGGGTAGATTAAAAAAACCTAGGTAGTTTTCTGCAGATACGTAATCAGTTTGGGGTTTTCCCTAAATGGAAGTGGAGAGTTTACGATATTGAAGGTATTTTGAGGTAAAAGTTAAAGGCAGATTGTTTAATGCGAGTAGGGAGAAGGATACCGAGCTCGTGATAAAGATCATTGAGCATGAACCAAGATACTACGGTTATGGTTCTTAAGAAATGCTTTGCAGGATTTCGAATGAATATAGGATTAGGCAGCTGCGCCCCAGATAGGAGTTGTGTACGTTAGCAATGGTCTGGCTGTAGCTTTGTAGAGATGGTTACCGGAATGGATTTGGTGGCGAGAAAATCGAAATAGAATCGGGAAGAGATGAGTACTTTGTGTAAATGGAGCAAGTCTATGGTGAATATAAGGTTTTCAGATGAGGTGGCCATCAAGTCAGATTTCGAGGTATGTGCCAGGGATGTTAGGCCAGTGTTACACGAGCGTTTCGTTGACGCGCGACGTAGATGAACACTATCTTAAGCCACCGCGCTCGTGTGACACGTGGTCTTGGATTATAACTGCAGGTTGTGAAATTGAATACTAAAGGAGGAGGTAAGGAGGTCTTTATTGTGAGAACAGTTTAACAGAGTTGAATTTTATTTACTATTTGCTTATCTATGGTGGTTTGGAACATCAAGTGTTGCAGTATCCAGCACTTGGTTGGTAGAGTACACGACATGTTCATTCACTAAGAGAACGACGAAGGTGTTTGGGGTAGTCGGTGCATCATATGTAGAAATATTGAAGAGCAATATTTTTAGCAATAGCGAAGCCTTGAGGTACTCCTGCCAAGATGAGAGCAGGGATGAGAGCGCGTCTTTTAATCATATGGAGAAAGACATTTTTGTGAAGAAGCTTGTAATCAGGAGAACTAGTGTGAAATACCGAGTTTTTGGAGTTTGAATAATAAGCCAGTGTGACAAACTGGATCGAAAGCTTTTTTGATGTAGAGGAAGACAGCTACTGTTTCTATACTATTTGACTTAAAGACCAATTTTTAAGGCATGATGGTTTCAAAATAAATGTTTAATAAAATTATTGTTTTAATACCGCATAAAAATGTTATTATTATTGAGAATACAAATATTTTCAATAGCATCTTACGGCTTACAACCGACACTATTGTAGAGTCTGAATTTGCATGCAAAGCATTAATCTTTTGCTAATGTGAACATGGAAAATCGTCACATATATTTACGAATCCCATCATTTAGAGTATTCCTGGCGAATTTTATTTTACATATTTTTGCATATTTTGCCATATTTTACGGTTACTGCATATTTCTCCATTTTCATCGGATTTTTTTTAAATAAGGGGAAATGATAATAATCTATTAACATCAAACTTCTTTGAAATTAAATTATGATTTATAGTTATTGTGAGTCATGGAACAGCTGACCCGTTACCATTTAGAAGTGAATATCCTTGTAGCCTCCAAACTGTATCCAACGGATGTAGTTATTGTGTATTTCGCTTGAATCACGTTGGCAACCATATTGCTTGAATTTCAGGTGACAGGGTACGGGTCGTCACACTCAGTCTCGGACTCGAATAAAACATAAACCAATGACAGACCATGGTGTTCTTGTCTGTCAGAAATCGTTTTCCAGTAAACGAAAGCATATGCTGGTCATCACCACAACATGTGCTCGCTGGTCGTCAATAGATCTTACCAAAGAAAGGTCTTTCTAATATCAGGCTGCAATGCAGCATTCGCACGTGCGTAACAAACGTATAAAAAAATCTTTAAACACAGACTATCCAGTTTTTTTGAAACAAATTTAGATACGTATCTTGTCATTCGACTAAACTTTAATAATTTTTGACAAACTATAAAATGTTTTTTGTTTAATGAATTAACGTTTATTCTTCTTAAATCTCCTTGCCATTCCAAGATAATCGGACATGAACAAATGACAGCGTTCCAATGCGTGGTTAAATAAGAGAAATTGAAAAATAAAATTATTTTTAAAAAAATTTCTACCGATGATTCTTTTGTTGTATTTAAGAAACAATGCGGTCGTAACAACTCAAATTTTCTACAAATATTTTTCTTCGTAGTTTAGTAATTATCTTTTATTTCCATGTGAATTTTATAGTGCACATTTACTGCTTGTTTTAATCATCGCGCACATTATATGGCGTAATTTAGACATTTTTATTGCATCTAAATACTGGCTCTCGACATTAATATAAATAAACAGGAATCAATGTAGTTAAATAACGAATAATTGACAAAGTAAAATAACTTTAAAAAATCCAGGTACTTGTAAATGTATTTAAAGTCGGTTACGTTAATGTAAAGAGCATGGCGAAAAACAATACATGGTAAGATTTTTTTATTAATAAACTGATTGTGTTATTTGCATTGTAGCTAGTAACACATTTGTGATAATAGTTGTGGAAGAGGACATTTTGTTGCACTTCATTGTTTTGCTGCTAAAGAAGTTTCTTGTACATCCAGTAATAAATAACTTACAGATAAGCATATATGTGACTCGAATACAAACAACAATGTATGTTGAGTAGTTTACACGAAGTTATCAACGTGACATCAGTGTTGGTAAATAGAGGTTCATATATCATGATGAAATGTAATATTAACAAAATTTCACGTGCATTATTTGCCAATATGTTATTTGTTAGAACGTGAAAATGGTTAATTTCTTTTACAAGCTTTTTTATTATTGTTATGTTTCTATTCCAAAATTTTTTGTACTTTGTTAAATATTCACAGTTTAGAAACTCTATTATTTTCTGTTTTGTGGTAAAAATATCAATAATTTTTTAATAATTGAATACAACTTTTGTAAAGAATATAATGATAACACAATTGTTAATTATCATAACGTTTATTTTTATTTAAGTATTATTACAAATTTCAAATTCTTATAGATTAATTTTGAAAACAAAGCAAGTCTCATAAAATGTTCTATATCTCATGTAAATGTTGGCTACTTTATTTTCAATTTTTAATATACTAATTTATTGAAGAAAGACATGTTGGATTCGTTGACGAAAATATACTAAACTATAATATGCATACATACTATTTACTTTAAATTTATTATTTTTCCGTGAAAATTGTATTTTATAGTAAAAAGAGATTACAAAAGTACTAACCAGAAAACTGAAAATGTAAGATATTAACGTTGAAATGAATAATTTTGAAATTGTAAATTTTTGAAATGAATAAAGATTTTATTTAGTTATTGAATCACAAATATTAAAAATTTAAAAGAACGAACAGTCTCAAAACATCAAATTTATTTTTTTATTCCGTATCCATATTGAATAATCGAAGTAATGTTTTAAGTCGTATCAAAGGTATTCGAAATATAATGTAATTCAAAACCTGACGAACTGATCGGCATCATAATTGATATTTATTCAATTTTCTCAATTCAAACTAAGAGACACTTATTCCTAATTTTCCGAAATATTTAAATGAGCAGGCAATGGAGTCATTTTCCACGAGGGAAATTGGTGTTTTAAAATTATTGGTGATTCTAAGCATTACTCTAATTGTTAGCACGTACGTTTCATCAAGGTCCCTTGGAAGTAAACTTTTGTCAAAATTTATCGGTTTAGGCCCATGTAATGAGGGCAGGAAGAGATTTTTTTAATCACAATTTTCCGGCATTATTCTAATTTCACAGATCCTTATAAATAATAATCAATTGAATATGAAATTATTGAGATGAGGCTCTATTGGTTTATCAATACAGTAACTCTTCGTAAATTGCGTCATTACGAAACGTTGATATAAGTCCATTGACCTATTCCCTCCTGTCCCATACCGCACAGAAGATAGACGTTCAGTGAATGGACTTCAAATGAAATTTGGTACTTATACATGCATTCACTGCTCTGCTAAAGGGCGCGCGCTAAATACAGATTTACAACTATAACGAGTCTGCCATTGCCGACTCGTTACCCTAAGTGAAAGGCGCGCGTCCCCCCTCCCCCGCACTGTCAATGGCTGGCTTTGATTGCGGGCCCTCTCTGACGTGCGCTATCTGCCGCGTGTTGCAGGAGTCCCTGTGCGACAAGGAGCGCGTGACGCTAGCCCAGCTGACATTCAACAGCAGCGGAGCCTACCGCTGCGAGGTGTCGGTGGAGGCGCCCAGCTTCGACACGGCGCACCAGAGCGCCAACATGAGCGTCATGGGTGAGTGAGAGGCATTTTTTCTCTAGTCTGCACACATTGAATCTTACCGTTGCGAGGTGTTGAAGGAGGCACCCAGCTTGGACACGGCGCACCAGAGTGCCAACATGCGCGTTGTGGGTGAGGGGGTATCGGCAATTTTCTAAGCACTGCACCTATGGACTCCTTCAGCTGTGAAGTGACGGAGGAGGCGCATAAATTCAGCATTCGGCGTTTACGATCTGTGATATTAATTGAAATCTTCTTTTACAAACGTATGTCATCGTTTTTAGTATATTTAATTGCACTGGACTCTTTTTGTAATAACAACAATACTCGCAGTTTCTGTAAGATAATTTGCCCCTCATCCTTTTGTAACGGCCTCAGATTTCATGTCATGATGTTTTTATAATTGTATATGTTTTATGCCTCCTTATGTATCTGGCAAAATGTCACGACACAACAGATCCATGTGTAAACAGTACGAAATACAACAACATAAGTGTTCCGAAAAGTAAAGAGGGGGGCTTGGAATGTTCCATAGGAGGCGTGAAATGTTGGGTCAGTCTGGATATCTTCTCATCCGACGTCTGAATGTTCGTCACTGTAGCATTCATCTTCATTCATTGTCACGTTCTATAGAGCTAGAGGTGACAGTAATTTGTCACTGACAGACAAGCCTTACAAAAGATGGTAAATTAAGATATTGCACAGTTTTCTTCGTTTTTGAGGTGGTTTCGTCTTTTTGTGTCAGGTAAACATGAGTCTGTTGTGTTATCCGTTGGTTCCGTCAAAATCATAGGAACAGCAAAAGGTATGTGTTGTGAATCTTTTAACCAGCGTAGCAGGAGTATAACACACGGCACACAGCATATATGATAGGCCCATTTCGTGTCCTGGTCGCCTACCTTACACTCGAAATACAGTTCATAACACTTCCTTACTAGAAGATTAAGGTTCGGTTTTGCAATTTCAAAGTTAGTTCACCACAAATGAAACAACGTATTTGATTTTTGTAGTTACGAGATATTTCTGCTTCTAAATTAATACAAAACATAAACGTCTACGAATCTAAAACAACAGTCACATCCAAGTCACTTTCATTCTGTCAGATCTCTCAATGCTGGGACGCAATTGGCAAGAAACATAACGCAATTCTGTTTGTTCGAGACTGACTGCTCAATAATGTTGCGAATACTTTATATTTCTTAAAAGTGGATTTTTGAAACTGAGTGTCGTGTAGAGGAATTTCTTGTACGAATTTCGATTATTCCTGAACAATTACATCTGTAGAATTATTAAATAAAGATACACTAAAGAAATGCAGTGATTTCAGGCATTTCCATAGAGTAGCGTGTAACAAGAAAACTGAGCCCGATTGGCAAAAACTGATTTTATATTCCAATTCAGTTTGCAGTCTTAGGTAAGAACACCATTCATATTCTTTGTTGTTAAATGCTGTTGACCAGTGTTATTGTCGAAGACTTTAGAATCCGAACTCAGAGTACATTTTTGTTACAAATGTGACGTGCCATTTATATATTTAACATCGACAGTTTTAAAATTAAGTTTGTATAATTCTGAAGGGTATAGTTCGTATTAGACCGGTATATTTTTAGAACAGATTGGATTGTCATGGAGCTGGCATATGTAAGCAGTGGACGTATGTACCTACAATAGCTTCTCGAAGGACATGTATGTTTTCGATAGTGACTATCCAAATTGCATTTCTGAAATAGATACATAATATTCCAGGCAAATTGCTATCATGCGGGGTAATTCAATGACGTAAATTGAAATAGATATAATTGGACTGAGTAATTGTTACATAAAATTTATTAGCTAAGAAAACTTTCTTGTAATGAATTACTAGAATGCTTGAAGAAAACACTATTAGTGTTTTAAAATAGCGGATTATATTCTAAACGAATGACAGTTAATTTGGCGTTACCGAAGGAAAATATACAGCATTACACATTGCGCACAATGGGTAGCGTTTAAAGCTGAAACAAAACAATGATTCTGAACGTGCAGTGAGTGCGCCAGACTGGAACATAGGCAAGCACAAGACACATTGCAAGACATCAGCGGGAGTGCGGGCTCAGATGGCTGTTCGCGACCTTGTGGCGTCACTCGTGCTGTCTACGTCTCGCACAGTTGCGAGAAAAGGGAGGTCGTTTATCAGAAGACTAGCGGCTGCACAGTTTCGGAATCACCACATGTCGTGATATTGAAGCATTAGAAGTACGTACTCATTGTTTGAGCAGAGAAAATGACCATATGACGTTGTACAATATTTGTGAAAAAAGTTATAACAGTCATTCTATAATTGATGTATAACATAATACACGTGTGCTACACTACGCATACAGCAAGATGCACTACACACGCGCTTTACAAGTCAGTTGTGAATGAGACGTACACTGTTTATAATACCGAGTGTTCATTGTGCAAGTGTGTGCAGTACACGTAACAAGTCACATTGCTGTTAATGATAATTAGTTCAATTCTCGTAGAGGAGTTTGAACGTATAGAAAATGACATATTAACGCGCACAAGCCATAGAGGCACATATAACGGAAATAGAGCAAAAATGCTTTTTAGTACGAGCCAGATAAACATCATCCTGTCTCATAGAAATGCTGGTGCTCAACTGACTTCATTCTCTTGCGACATTGACCCCGCGAGGAAAGGTTCGCGACAGTTTGTCTCAACCAATCAAAGTTAATCTTAGTACTAAGGAACTTTAAAACTATACTTAAATTATAATTTAAATAAGTTATATTATTGCGTAGAAAATTGAAAATTATGAATTGTAATAATTGTTACGAGGCTAATTTATGAAGTAACGGGAATAGCGTAATGTTTTCTAAGAAAGGTGCGTCGCTAACCGGCGACTGCAGAGCCACCTCGCGTGAGTTGCTTCTGAGGATTTGCGAGGGAGACAGGCGGATGTCCTATCCGTAGGCGTATCAGAATTGATGTTGTGTGATATGGCGTAACCGGTGTTGTGTGAAAATATAGAATACGGAGTACAGAACACAATAGAGTACAATTAAACATTTTGTGTGATGCTTTGTCATTGTTCCATGACAAAATGTGCGTAATGAATTATGCACAACGTGCTTATGAATTATATTAGTTTACCTTGTTCCAGTAGGTTTATTGATACTTGTCACGATCAAGCGAGATTGCGTGGTAATACAATTATTTTATTCCTCTTATAGTTAACCTTTTTATAAATGTACTACTCTACTGTGTGGTCGCACACACATTACTTATATATTGAAAACTTTGCTAATTCTCTAACACCTTAACTGTTACGGCAGACTGTGAGTCACACCTCTTGCTTGAAACTTCTCGCTGCGGGACCCGTTGTGAGCTGGTCTAGCTCGCACATTGATACCGCGCAAGACATCAGTAAGTGCTGGCGATTGCCGAAAGCACGTCTGCAAAAACGATATCGTCCAGAAGCTCCCCGGACATTTCGTTTTCGAATACGATCTCATCCTCAGGTTCCCAGCGACCAACTGACTGAGCCCCCAATAACTCGTCCAGAGGATAGTACGCACGGAAATATTTGCGTATCAACTCGTCTAGAGCAGTCAAAGGGGTGAGCACGAAGCTTTATTTATACTACATCGATTCTTCTCAAAAATATCTCAGTTAAGAGCACTTGGCTAGTTGTATGTACATGATTTGAAAATAGCGTAGTTTTGAATTATGTGTAGCATTAAACAACCCACATCTTTTGAAACGCTTTAACCAAATCCTAGTAATTACCTATATAATGCTCTCAGAGTCGTAGCGTGCTATTTAACTTCGAGTGAATTTTGCACAATTTTTTTTAACAAATGTAGAAAAAAATTAAAATTGTATACAAAATAATGACGATTTTTTTATCTCCACGAATAGAATTAGCACATTATTTCAAAATACTATTTGAATTGCTCTGGCATGAGAATTGTTCCTGCATCGCCTTCTCTGTACATCGTCTTCAGTAAACTCCGCGGCTCTCGGATCCTCCTGGAGAGCCTCCGAAACCACACCCGTTCGGGCGAAGTTCCACTCTAAAATGCTATTTGCCCCGGCTGCAAACAGCGCGCAGTTT